TGCTTTTAATAAGAACTAATTATGGAAGATTTAATATTAGATATACTGGAGCAAAAGTTTGGAACGAAATTGATGATACAATTAAAGAAATGAACAAGGTGAATTTTAAGAAAAAACTGAAAAATACTTTGTTGGAGCAATATAGTAAGGGTGATTAAAAGTGGTGCTAAACATGATTATTTAATCACCTTGCCTGGTTTGATTTTTTATTCTATATATACTTGCGTGTTTTTTTGGTTTTTTTAAAATTGTTTCTCTGTTCATTGGAATCAAAGCATCATGATAAGTTAACAAAGTTGAGCTAACTGTCTCGTCTAACTCCACGGTTATTACAGTTAGCTTGCACCTTATTCCGAATAGGTTTTTTTTTCTTCAATTACAATTATATTATAATTATGTATATATATATATATATATATATATATATATATATATATATATATATATATATATATATATATATATATATATATATATATATATATATATATATATAAAAAGACATAAACAACAAATTTCAATCTTAAAATTTTATTTCATCGCTACACAGTGTTTCACGTACAGCGTACGATCATCAGGCGATTGATGTTAATTATCTCGCAATAAATTCGTGCGTATTTATTGCGAGATAATTAACATCAATCGCCTGATGATCGTACGCTGTACGTGAAACACTGTGTAGCGATGAAATAAAATTTTAAGATTGAAATTTGTTGTTTATGTCTTTTTATTTGCTCTACTGATTTATTGGTGTTGAGCACTCTAGTCCACTACGCACAAATTCAATATTGAATATTATATATATATATATCTTATATATATATATATATATATATATATATATATATATATATATATATATATATATATATATATATATATATATATATATATATATATATAATTCTTTAATCTTAAAATATATTTGTCGCTACACTGTGTTTCACGCTTCTTTCAAAGCGATCTTCAGGCGAATGAAGTTGATTCAATGACGTGCTCTAAACTAACGGTTTGCTGACGCATCTCGCGTGCGTTCAAATTTGCGCGCGATTGAATCAACTTAATTCGCCTGAAGATCGCTTTGAAAGAAGCGTGAAACACAGTGTAGCGACAAATATATTTTAAGATTAAAGAATTATTTAAGCTCTATCGTATATTGGTATTGAGCACTCTTCGTTCAATTACGGACAACAAGAATTAATATATATATATATATATATATATATATATATATATATATATATATATATATATATATATATATATATATTCCTTGTTTAAATTAACAAAGTGAATTTAAATTAATTGTATGTTATTCTACCACTAAGTTATGATAAATTATTGTAACTAATAATTATTATATATATATATTCCTTGTTTAAATTAACAAAGTCAATTTAAATTAATTGTATGTTATTCTACCACTAAGTTATGATAAATTATTGTAACTAATAATTATTATATTTTTGGTGCGTTTTTTCCTTCTGTAACTTCAAATACAAGTATAGTAACCATAAATTTTAGACCAAATTTGGATGCTCAGAATGCATGAAATGGCATTTCTGGGTTTCAAATTTCAAACATTTTCTGTGGAGTATGCCCCGACACACGTGGCCTTTACCCATTGCTATCCCCCCCCCCGCCCTAATAAGTAATGATAAATTACGGTTAATATTTTTTTATTTTGTGCGTTTTTCCTTCTTTTATTTGAAACACAAGTACAGTTAGCATAAATTTTAGAGCACATTTGGATGCTCAGAATGCAGGAAATGGCATTTCCGGGTTTCAAATTTCAAAAATTTTCTGCGGGAGTATGCCCCCAGGCTCTCCTATACATGTGTGGTATGTCTGCCACTCACATGGCCTTCAGCCATTGCCTACCCCCCTCTAATATATTATCTCACATAAAAGGTCTCTTTTCAAAAAATGCCCCCCCCCCCCACAGGAAGATCCTTAAAAACGGTCTCGTATGTTGAGTTTATTTGCTATCCATGGGCGATTAGTGAACTTTTACTATCTTTTCTGTTGAAAAACCCATTCCAGTGTAATTTTACGATGATCAATACTTCTGAACAAAATTGAATTTATACATGGAATTGTCGTTAAAAAATTACAGTTTCAATGTTGTTGTGAAAGCCGAAATAAAACAGAAAAGTCAAGACAAACTCAAACATAATAGGCATGTTCTAAAACCGTTTCAACTGTTTTGTAATCTAATGAAATGGAGTTCAATAACCCTTTTAAACTTTTACGTACGATTACTTTCCATATTTGTCCATGTACATGAACCTTGAGGTAACGCTTTTGAAACCACAGTTTTCGACGATAATTTGGTCGATTTACACTTCATCGAAAACGAAATACATTTTTTCAAAAATTTGAAACGCTTCACTTAGTTTGAGAAAAAAAACGAAACCCGACGAAGGATGAACTATCATTCTGTAATTTCACCAGATATTAGCAATTGAAAACGATAATGCTCAGAACATGCAAAAATGTTTCAAGAGTAAATTATATGCTTTTTTACGATTTCACCGTTTTTGTAAAATGGAAAACTGATACAGTACTTTATACATTTGCGTTTGTGCTTTAAAGAACTCAACGTTTCAAAATCTATCCTGAAACTGCAAGTTAGACATCAAGACAATACTTTCCGACGATGTAAACATATGGTTAACCAGACAACATGTTGGGGCACTTTAAATCAAAATTTGTGAATTTCTGAACCGAATGGAATCTGTTTTCACTATGGTTTGCACCGAATTCCCAACGGTATCAAATGCGATTTCGGCAGGCAATTTTTATTCTATATTTGGTCATTTTCCTATAGAATAAAACAAAACTTTCACAATTACTTTTCATATTCGTATATACGCTGCTTGAGCCTTGAAGTAACGCTTTTGAAACCACAACTAAAGACTTTTCCAAAAATTTGAAACACTTTTATAGTATATCGAATGAAACAAAAAAGGCATCATTCCACACTTAAGAGATTGAATTTTACTGCCGTGCAAAAGTTTCGTCGATAAACGCGCTATCTAACGCGGTAACGAAGCTGTTATATTTGAATATCGTTTTCCTAAACACCCTGCATATCTGGAGTTAAAGAACGTATACCTACCCGACAAATGGCTTAATGATAATAAATTAAATGTAAGGTCTCAGTACCCGTGATGCAGTTACAGCAAACCAACTTTAATACAACTACGCAGTTACGTGAAGGGACTGAAACTGATAACACAATAAACCTTCAATTTTCGCCATGTTTGGCTTCAATTTGGGAACATGAGTTCTCATTCCATGTATACAAGCATAGATTTCACTAATGCAGCTAGGGGCTTTAGGATCAATAAAATTTGACAACGATAGTATTCTATCTAAATAGCAGTTAAAATAAAGTGTACACGGCACTTAAAACAATTCAATATCTTCCTTGAAGTGGTTCTAAATCCATAAAACATTTACGTATTATGCAAATATATACCGTATATTTTCAAAATCTGCCATATTTATTTACATTAGAACAGAAGCTTTCGCGGTTCACACGAAATATTACGTCGGTGATTTTCACTAATAATAGAGGGTAAATGAAAGTGGGCGTTGTCACTCGCTTACCCAATCAGCTGTCTGAGTTCTGTACCACGTAACCTGTTCAAATCGTTCCGAGCGTGAGAAATCTTATTACATCATAACGGTCTCGATAAAATATTTTGGGCGCACCTTTGTGCCACATAAGGAAGTTGGGGACCCGTTAGTGCCATATATGGAAGCATATAGTTTCTTCGTGCATCGAACGATAAATAATTGGATGATCTTACCCTCTTATTATTATTAGTGAAAGTCACCGACATAATATTTCGTCTGAACCGCGAAAGCTTGGGTTCTAATGTAAATAAATATGGCGTATTTTGAAAATATACTGTATTTACATAATTAGCCATTCCAAAGTTGATGATTGGGCTGGGGACGAGTGTTAAAAAGTGCCCAAATTAAGAAATGGGCAAAATAACTAAAAAGACCACCTCAAAATTAGTAAGTATACAAATGTTGAAGACATTTGCATGAATACCCTTCGAATAACAAGCTTTCGAAAATCGCGATATTTACTATGAAATGTATTGTAATTTTTGTTTTGGGGAGGCGCGTCCCAAAAACAATATTTTAATCAGTAATTTCAGAATTTTCGAAAGCTTATTTTTCGACGGCTATTCATGTAAACGTCTTCAAACTTTGTATACTTGCTAATTTTGAGGTAGTCTTTTTAGTGATTTGGTTCATTTCTTAATTTGGGTACTTTTTCACACTCGTCCCCAGTTCACTCATCATTTTCGGAATGGCTAATACTTAAATGTTTTATGGATTTAGAAGCACTTCAAGCAAGATATTTACCAGTTGAGGTACCGTGCACTTTATTTTAATAGAATACTATTGTTGTCAAATTGAATTGGTCCTAAAACCCGTGGTGCAGCCAAGGGGCTCTAGGCATGTGTACTACTAAAGCCGTACATATATTTTAAAATATTAATTTTCAAACAAGAGGCCACATTTAACCACGAGCAAATTTCCCGACTATTTCAAAGAACGCTATTATTAGCGAACCAAGTTGTCAACGAAGAGGACTTTGGAATA